ACTCGCTCATGCTCGTCTGGAGAGAACGACTCAGAGGCGCGAGGGAACAACGGACAAGCAAGAAGACAGCCGCGCGATAAACCGGCGGCAACAATTGCCCGCGCTCTGCGGTCCTCTATATATATGTATCGAGGCGCTATCGGCCAATTGATGAGTTTGTTTACGTGCGGAGGGGAAACCGAGAGCACCCAGAGAAAACGATCACGCGCGAGGGGGAAACGCCCGATCCCAAACGTCTGCGACCAAAAAAAAGCTTTACAGCTCACCGGATTCCTCCGGTAAAAATCAATGTTGTGATTCCGAAGGGGAAGATTCCACACATTTGCTTTGCTGCAGTGCCGTCTACTGGCGAGCCAGGGTTATGACGAGACACCTCGACGGCCACCCAACGGGATGGGAGTTCCGCAACTTTATTTTTGCAAATCACTAACCATCGCCTCCTCCAATGTGCCGGATTACAGGCCGCGTGCCATGGCCACCACCGCCCAGTGCAAGCACCCCACCCCCACCCCCCACTTTCCCCACACACAGCACTGACCAGCACGGTGAAGTATGGTCAAGCGATCCCCACGACGGCGTGAGTTAGGTCCCTCATCCAGCAGTTGTGGCTAATTGTGGTAGTTACTGTAGCGTAGGTGTTCCTAGCTCTTCATTTGCCATTCGACTCATGTGGGCAAGAATGCACTCGGTATATTTGTTTGGTTGTCCTTACCCCCGCCGCAACTCTAATTAGAAACGGTTGACTACGTACGGCGCGAAAGAAGTTCAACATACACACATGGCACATACAAATTACATGCGAGAGACACGTGCGCAGCGTTTCCTGTGAATTTGGCCCGATGCAGTCCCAACGCACGTCAATGGGTTTTTGGCCAAATATCCCGATGGACGGACCGTCGTGAAAACGGGCCTTGAGACTCGGCCAGGCATTCATGAAATAAACAAAATAACTTCGTTATTGTTGCTGTTATTGTTCTCCATCATTCTTGTACAACTCCGCAGTTCTGCCAACCATCCAGTACCGGATGAAGCTAGTGCGGGGCCTGTAACATATGTTATGAAGGGGCCCTAAATAAACAAAAAAATACACAAATATTAAAACATGTTCAGCATAAGTACGTGTGGTTAATGCAGACGTGATTCCTTGCTAAAGGTGTCTATTTGGTGTTTGATCACCTTAACACAACAGTTTTATTGCAAGAAAGGGTCAAACCTATTCTTATTTTTCAAACTTTGATCATGGCAATAAAAGGTATCCCATGATATAGCTGCTCAACCCGAGCAATAAGTCATCTGATACGTGTGGCATTGTCTTTGTACTGTTCGCCTTTTGTGATTGTTCTCTGGTCTGACACTGCTGGTGAGACTATAGGCCATGAAGAGCAAGGCTGTCTCTGGTATAGGCCAATCGGTTTCGAAGACAATGCATCATATAATTATCAGAATTTGTTTGCATATTCGCCACAAGTACGTGTGATCAATGCAAACTTGATTCCTTGCAAAGGGTGTCTTATTTGGCGTTTGAACATCTTAACATAACAGTTTTATTGCCAGAAAGGGCAAAGTCATATTCCTATTTTTCATACTTTTGATACTGGCAAAAAAAAGCTCTCCATGATATCAACTCACATTGCGTCGGTGCCACATTGTAGCTCAGTGTTGTGCACCGCGAGGTCAAGAAGTCATCGCGCCTCGCCAACGCCCTCCCCACGCCAGACCTGCCGGATCCCACAGCAGCAGACACGCGACCTTCAGGTTTCGCCCGAAAGAGTCTCCCCACCATCTGCTCCCAGATGTTCACCTCCCCACGGTCGCAAGGACTCGTGGACACCACACCGAAGCCTCTCTCGGTAATCCCCAACCGCTTAGTCACCTTCGATTAGCACGGTTCGGCTACGTACGGTGAGAAAGAGGTTCAACATACATGCACACGTACCACTGTATGCGACCGTTTCCCCCCCCCCCCCCCTTAGCGTATCGACAACACTTCCGGGCACGTCCTCTTGCAAACTTCCACATCGCCTATTCCGTCTCTATTTCCCCACGACATGTCCAGGATATGTCACATGCAGGAACTTTCCCCCCAAATGACAACAACTTTATTTGCGTGCTGCTCACAGCACCCGGCTCTCTCCATAGAGCGGTGTTCTTCATGGCAAGGCCCGCAGGCCACTGGCGGCCCCTGGTGGCCTTTAGTGCGGCCCCCAACAATACATCAATGGTGACAACACCCCCCCATCATCATCGTGCTGCTGTCAAACCCCCAATGGCGTTGCGGCCCTCACGTTGGCGATGTCTTATCGGCGAAAGTGCCCCCCCCCCCACCCACCCCCCCCCCCCCTCTGAAAACGAGTGAAGAAACACCGCCAGAGAGTAACACAGCCAGTACCCCTGCTTCAAATGCCCGTTTCTTGGCATTCACTTGACAACACTTTCTTGTCTTCCAAACCGGTTTTCCACGGCCCATCGCTTATCTGGCAGGGGCCAGTTTGTCCCGAACGCAATCACTGCCCATCTCCTGACAGGTGGTGGAGCCTCGCTATCACCAGTTCAGACAATATGGGCTCGATGATGATGATGATGTTTTTGTACATCTCAATCATTAACAGTGTTTGTAATCGTGTTTATCTACGGATATAAATATTGTTTCGTAAGGTCATGGGACACTCAACAGTTTAGTGACCACAATGACAAAGATCCCCGGTAAAGCCTTAACAGGCTGTAGGGGCAAGTGCTGTTAGGGAGTAGCACCTATGAAGGCCGGAACGGCACACGAGGGGGCGGGAGGCCAGCACCACGCCCGGCCGCCTTTGTCTCCCTCAGTGGCGACGTTTACACACCGCGCCGGGAACTTGTCTGAACAGTACTATTCGAATACCCCCGTAGAATCACTTGGATTAACACAGAGGCCACAAAAGAGAAGTGGCAGCAACATGTTTAAATTTGCAATTCGCTTTAATGTGGTCATGCATTTTACGCGTAAGCAGCGGATAATTTTGACCATTAAAATCGAGTGTTTTATTTCCAGAAACATTCATTAAATAAATACAAATGCCAAACAGGATCCTCTTGAAAAGGGGACCTTGAGATCTTTTATTTTCAAGTGAACGTGAAATACCGTTGTATTATCAGGGCACTGTACTGTGACTGACGTGCGGGTTTTTATGCCACACAAACCGCAGGCGCGCGGTCGCTTTTCACGGAATACCTCAAGCGGAATTCCGTCTGCGTTTCTTTCCCGCCCGCTTACTCTCAACGTTGTCCCAATGTTGGTGCTATCGGTGTCACGTTACGAGGCGGAATAAATCATCCATTTGGATGTCTCGCACAGCAGTGTGAACCCCCTCGACGTTAGGAAAGGGCCCGCGGAACAGGATATCACAGGACTACTTTCGAGATACGTACAGTCACGGGCACCCCATACCGTCTCCCCCCCCCCCCAAACTTGCCCCTGCCTGTAGAGTGGAGTTGTCATCGCAGAACAGCCAATTTCAAACCGTGTCGTCGCCCTGAGAGCTGAAATATTTCCAGATTAAGTCCTGAACAGCGAATGGACAATTCGACGACTCTTTGCGCATTCACGAGTGACGGGGGCTGAGACCGCTCAACTGGCTACAATCGGGAACTCGTTTTAACCACCGCCTATGCTTCCGGCGGCCGTCCATCTGGAAAACTTCGTCGAGATGGGACATCTCGTTGGCAAGGGCGGTTGACAAACTTGCATAGCCAACACGTTGATGTCCAGTGGCGTAGTGAGTCCATTATTATCAGCTCTAGGGGGTCGGGCAATCGGTCAGATGGGGCCCCAAAATGCGATTTGTCTCGCACGGTTGCACCTAGGGCCCTAGGCTATTTATATCTATCTCGTGGCTCCTCTTGCCTAAGCACATCATTTGCATCAGTTTTTGTAGCTTTGGCCACCAGGGGGAGGGGGGGGGCAAGGCACCCCCTGCCTCCACGCGAGTTACGTGACTGGTAAATGCCACCCAGAGGGGTATCTGCTAACCACCACGTTGCCCCCGATATGCTGTGGACAATGCTGTCCGCTGTGGTAACAACGCTGCCCTGCGAGCAAAATAGGCGACATTTCGGCCAATGGCTCTTGCTCAGAGCAGCAATGTTGTTGAGTTGTCTGCCATAAAAGGCAATCATTGCCCGAAGCGCAAGGCCGAAGTTCCAACAAACATCGCTGTGCTATGTAGGGTACATTTCCGAAATGTCGCAGATTTATTTTAATTTTATTTAGGGCCATTATTGTTTCGTGGGAATGTTTTATAAACGATGAAACTATTAAAAAGAACTAGAAACTAATTTTTATTTTACCAGGTAAGGCTCACTGAGCTATTTCGCACTTTTTCAGAAATAACCTGGCCGCAAACGATAACTCAACGAAGTGGCTTATCCCGTGGACATTAATAGCATTCGCCAAATATTCTAAACACACTTTGATTATAAATTCGGAGGTAGAAACCGGGGGAAAATTCACGCGATCACGGCGAAAGAGAGAGAGAGAGACATGCAAACGTCAAATATACAGCAGCGGTTAGGACTGGGTTCCACCCCACGAAGACTTTGCTGTTTTTTCCTGGATTTTTCTGTTGCGCGTAGTCACTTTAAGATGTTTCTTGTTCATGTTTTTGTTTGTTGCGGTTGCACCCGATTCAAGAGCCGCACAACTCACAAGGCTATACCAAATAAATGATACTGAACTGAAAACTGAACGAAGTTCCGACATGCCAGGCGAGGGAGTCACCGTCTCGCCACCGCGTACTGCACAGTGCACCGCGTGTGTTCCACGTGGTGGACCCACCGCTCCGGCACTGCCAACGCAGTGGGCTCAGCGTATCTACCAAAAAATATATATAATAACGAAGCACCACCACCACCTTTTAATTTGTCCTCGGCGGCGAGAGGCAGTGGTGGTGGGGTGGCTGGTGGGGTGGTGGTCATTTCGCGTCCGCTAGGCAGCGCTCTCGCCAACGTGACACGCTCCAACCCGGGCGAGCAGGAGGACGAGGAGGGAGGGAGGAAGGAAGGGGAGGAGGAAAAGGCGTCCAATGCGCTCGGTGTGCGTGCAGACGTTTACCCACGCTTAGCCCAACCTTCTGGCCCTACACCACCTGCACCACTCCTCCCCCACGCGCGCGTTCGCCCTCAAGTATCCGAGACGGAGCCGAGAGAGAGAGAGAGGCAGACGGACGGAAAAGGGAAAGATGATCGAGGTGACGTCCTTCACGATGGACGAACTCAAGAGGGTCTTCAACGACCACTACGCGCCTATCGCGGTGCTCACCACCGCCGGTAAGATGGGGGGGGGGGGGGGTAGTAACGACATCGATGTTTCATCGCGTTTATGTTCACACGCGTACAGTCTTTCCATGTGTTCATATTACTTATTTATCCTTGTGAGGACGGCGGGAGAGGAACGGGGGGGAGACTGCGCCAAAGGAAAGTGGTCGCGTTGAAGATGAAAGCGATGGGGGTGCGAGTCGCGTCGTCAGGCAGTGTCCTGAGTCGCTTGCCTGCACCGCCTTTACATTGACAGGCCGTGTGGGTGATGAGGTGTGGGTGATGAGGTGTGGGTGATGAGGTGTGGGTGATGAGGTGTGGATGATGAGGTGTGGGTGGTGATGCGTGGGTGATGAGGTGTGGGTGATGAGGTGTGGGTGATGAGGTGCGGGTGATGAGGTGTGGGTGATGAGGTGTGGGTGATGAGGTGTGGGTGATGATGCGTGGGTGATGAGGTGTGGGTGATGAGGTGCGGGTGATGATTTGTGGGTGATGAGGTGTGGGTGATGATGTGTGGGTGATGATGTGTGGGTGATGAGGTGTGGGTGGTGATGCGTGGGTGATGATGTGCGGGTGATGAGGTGTGCGTGATGATGTGTGGGTGATGAGGTGTGGGTGATGAGGTGCGGGTGATGAGGTGTGGGTGATGAGGTGTGGGTGATGAGGTGTGGGTGATGATGCGTGGGTGATGAGGTGTGGGTGATGAGGTGTGGGTGATGATGCGTGGGTGATGAGGTGTGGGTGATGAGGTGTGGGTGATGAGGTGTGGGTGATGAGGTGTGGGTGATGAGGTGTGGGTGCGGGGGGCGGTGGCCCAGTGGGTCGGCGCACTGCGCTCACGAGCCTGGCGACCCGAGTTCGATTCCCGCTCCACGGCCAATAACACAGCGACTGTTATCTTGCACCGGTCCTGGGGGACCCTCACTTAGGTCGACTCAGCCTCAAATGAGTAGCTGGTGCGCTGTGTGTAAACATCGCCACTGTGTGGGGACAAAGGCGGCCGGGCGTGGTACTGTACACCCCACACCCCCTCGTGTGCCGTGCCGGCCTTCATAGGCGCTACTCGCTAACAGCACTTGCCCCTACAGTCTGTCAAGGCTATACCGGGGATCTTTGTCATTGTGGTCACCGAACTGCTGAGTTCTCCATGATCTTACGAAACAATATTCATATCCGTGCCCCTACAGTCTGTAAAGGTTACACGGGGGATCTTTGTCTTTGTACGTGGGGAGCGGTGGCGCAGTGGGTTAGCGCACTGCGCTTACGATTTCCCGCTCACGACCAATGACAGCGACGAATATCAGAACCAGTTCCGTGCCTCCCCTAGGTCGACTCAGCCTTACATGAGCACCCGGTGCGCTGCGTAAACATCGGCACCGGTGGGAGGGGTGAGAAGGCCACCTCGTGTGCCGTGCCGGCCTTCAACGAGGTGCTCCTCGCCAACGGCACTTGCCCCGACGGTCTGTCAAAGGCTACCGGGGGGGGACCTTTGGCTCTTTGTGTGACGCGCTGTGCCTCTAAGGATCTAGTGGCTTGCAGCTGTAATGGCATTATGCGTGGCTGTGTGCTGCAGCGGGACTGCCAGCTGCGTTATTGACCTGCAACCAGCAGTGGCATCTGTGCACGCGTGGTGCAGCTGCAGCTGTTTCACGGTTACCGCTGTAGCGAGACGCGCTGTTGTGCGGGCTGCAGGCTCGCGACTTCGCGTTTGGCGGACAATGGTGCTGTTAGTTCCTCGGGCTGCAGGGAATCTGCCTCGTTAGCTGCAAGGTGCACAGTGCCACACGCTTGCGAGCGAAGGCTATGGAGTTGTAAGGTCCCGTGGGTTACAGTTGCAGTTGCCAGCTATTGTGTTGGTGGCAGCAACAGCAGCAGCAGCAGCTGTGGTGTTGACACTCGACACTGCAGCAGCGGTCCTCCAACCTTTTTGGCACCAAGAACCGGTTTCGTGGAAGACAATTTTTTTTCACGGACCGGGGGGGGGGGGAGGGGGGTTCATCATTGGGTCTTTCCCCCTTTTCAAGGAAGCTCTCCAGCGACCTTTGTTGTTTTGTTTTACTCATTGTGGCTGCTAGGGGGTTAGAGCTTGTGGGCTTTATACCAACACTGTGACTGAGTGCGCAGTGCGGGAAAGAGGCGCGGGCGGAAGTGGTAAATAATAAAATAATGTGGACGGGCCACGTGCGGACTCACCGCTCTCACCTCCTGCTGCTGTGTGGCCCGGTTCCTAACAGGCCACGGACCGGGGCTTGGGGACCCCTGATCTATACAGCACCGCTGCGTTACAGTGGTAACCGGATCACAGGAGCAGCGTTAATATAGCGCGGATTCGGATTTCAGAACACATTGGCATGCCTGGCATACATCATTAGACCTCCTTTGCCAGTACCAAAATGTAATAATAGGGTCTTTCCACCTTTTTCCTGGCAACAAAACGGAAACCTTTTTACAAGGATTCATGTCTGCATTAACCACAATACCTGCAGTCAAAATGCAAACAAAAAACATACTATGATAATATATGCATTGTTCTTGAAACTGATTGGTACACACCAAGGGACAGCTTTCTTTTGAGCCTCGGCCCAATTGGTGCTCGACCACATGACGCCAAAAGGCGTCACACAGCTCAAAGACAATGCACTATCAAAGTAATGAGGGCTCGGGGTGAGCATCTACATCATTAGACCTCCTTTGCCAGTACCAAAATGTAATAGGGTTTTTCCCCTTTTTTCTGGCAACAAAACTGAAACCTTTTTACAAGGATTCATGTCTGCATAACCACAATACCTGCAGTCAAAATGCAAACAAAAAAACACACTATGATAATATATGCATTGTCCTTGAAACTGATTGGTCCACACCAAGGGACGGCTTTCTTTTGAGCCTCGACCCAATTGGTGCTCGACCATATTATGCCTGGCATAGTTTAACAAACCCGTTAACGTCGAGAGGTGTAGTAATTTGCGTTGTGTTGCATCGCATACAAGAGCTTACTGTGTTGTATATATTTAAAAGGTTTGCTGTCTGGCTGGGCGCGCGCGGACAAGTCCGCGTTGGTGACGTCACAGCCCGTTTCCGCGTGACGTATTCGTGCGTGCCGACGTCACCCCTCTTCTCTCCCGGGCAGTGGTCGTAACAAATAAATAAATAAACAGACGCCTTGCCGTTTATCTCGGAAAGGCCTTGGAAGTCTCAAGGTCCCCTCCCCCGCTTGTTCAGAAGGAATCCTTCCACATTGGGGGATGATATCTGTCCAGTTCCACTGCCGAGTGTCTGTTTGGCTTGAACTTGGGGGGGGGGGGGCACCGAAGGGCTCCAGGCAAAACCGTGTCTCTCTCTCATCATCACGGTGGCTAGGAGATGTTAACTACCTCGCCTGGTATACAGGAGGTCGTTGGTTCTATCCCGGCCCTGACACCTGCTGCTGTATATTTGGAGTTTGCGTGTCTCTCATCATCATCACGGTGGCTAGGAGATGTTAACTACCTCGCCTGGTATACAGGAGGTCGTTGGTTCAATCCCGACCCTGATGCCTGCTGCTGTATATTTGGAGTTTGCGTGTCTCTCTCTCATCATCATCACGGTGGCTAGGAGATGTTAACTACCTCGCCTGGTATACAGGAGGTCGTGGGTTCGATCCTGACCCTGATGCCTGCTGCTGTATATTTGGAGTTTGCGTGTCTCTCTCTCATCATCATCACGGTGGCTAGGAGATGTTAACTACCTCGCCTGGTACACAGGAGGTCGTGGGTTCGCCCCTGACACCTGCTCTACATTTGGAGTCTTTCTCTCTCCCCGCGGCCGCGTGGATTTTTCTCCCGGTCCTCTCGGTTTTCCCCTCCATATTTAGAAACATGCGTTTTGAGTATTTGGCTGCTATAAATTTCCACGTGATACTCCACTTCGGTGAGCTATCATTTGTAGCCAGGTCGTTTCTGAAAAATTGCTATTTAGTTCAGTGGGACTTACCTGGTAAAATAAAAAAAAAGTTTAGTTTAAGTGAGAGGTCATCATCATTATTGTCATCTTCAGCCATTTTCAATGCACTGCTGGACAATGACGGAGCCAGGATTTTCAGGTAGAGGGGGCAACCACTCCAGCAATGAAAAATGATAGAGGAGTTGTTAGTAAGTAAAGACTTGTCCCTTGCTTTTTATTCGACGCGTGTGCGGCGATGGCGCAGGCCATCGATCGAGGGTCGAATTCGAACCGCGTTGTGTGATCGGCATCGCGCTCGCTGAAGGTGAATGCTTTCAGGGAAGTCGTGTCCTGTATACGCAACTGCGCACAATTCTGAGTCACTTACAACTGCTTTGCCGTTACTTGTTGCGAATTATGGACTCAGACTATTGTCCTATCATCTCATACAGTCCCTGGCACGTTATAATATGCTACACAGTGGCAGTGGGGGTCGCAAAATGCCGATGTATTACTAATAAACCCCAATGATCCGATCGAAATTAGGGATTTCGATCAGATCATGGGGGGGGGGGGGGCACGTGCCACCCCACTGGCTCTGCCAGTGCTGCTGGATGAAGTCATCCTTGCACTGTTGTGTAAACTGCCAAACGTAAGCATTTGATGCAGCTGAACAAGTAAATGACCTTAGCCAATTTTTTTACTGACAGACGGATTAACATCCCAATAATTAGTGGTCCGTTCGTATGGATACGTGGGGGCGTACATCAGGGCACTTTGAACTGCTGGTTAGCATAAAGCGGGCTGTCACTTGCTTCATCCCTCTTATGGCAAGGATTGGTGGATCACACAGATTTGTGAAATTCCCCAAATCCATTGCGCTGTCAGATACGCGTGAAATGGCAGCACAGAAAAATGTATTAGTGAACCGATCCGGATGGACTTAGACAGCGTTGTCTCCTCGTGGGGAAACACCGATTTCCTGCCACGTGCCAAACACTCTTCAATGGAGTTGGCCAAACACACCCCAAGCATGATCTTCTTTGAAACACGGGGACTCCTCTACTTACGAACTTTCAGAGATACGAACAAAC